AAGGCAGGTTCTCCCCCTCTCTGTGTTCAGTTTCAATTAGTAAAAGCTTTCAAGAGCCATGATCTATCGTGTCATAAACCTTAGCAGTTAGATATTATGGAAGTTAAGGGCACAAGGCAAACGCTTACGTTTAACCTCAGCTCATAGCCCAAAGGAAGAGCACTGTTGCTATAAACATAAACTACCAAAGGCAGTCACCGAAAAACCACGCCGTGACTTTTTGCTGGATTTCAAATCGAGTTTTTCAATACACAGGTCTTCTGCTTAATGAAATGGCAACTGTTACTGTGCCATGCAACACTTTTTTCCTTCTGAAAGCTCTTGGAACAGGGGAACTACCATTTATAGATTTGAAAAGCAGTGTGTGTGTTTTTCTTCTGCCTTACTAAGGGAAAAAAATCTCTATTAGCTGCCTAAAAAGGCAGTTTCCTAATCTAGTGGCATCCAAGCCACTTAAAATAGCTTTGGAATACATTGATTTTCTTTTTGTCTTCCCCTTCCTTTCCCCTTTGTACTATTTGTCAGAAAGTTCGCAAATTCTGACAGAACTAACCCCTGGGTGCTTCTCAATCGTCTGTCCAGGGGCCAGACACACTCAATTAACTCTCAAGGCCCAGTGGTTGTGCCTCTGATTAACTTAGTTCTGAATTAATTTGCTTTGAATTAATTCACATTCAGAGGGGATGAAGCATGCATCTTGTGAGCAGTATAGGAAACAAATTCCCTTAGAGACTCCAAGATGCGGAGAGAAAACTATACTCAAACAAAAGCACTCCTGGTGTAAGTGCTAAATGAAACATTAAATAAGTAGCTATTCGGCTTCGAGGATCTGAATGGGTCCCCACCCTCCCTCATTTATTATTACATATATCTCAAAAAAAGGCATCTTCCAGTAGAAATGGTTCATTGCTTGCTTGGCTAGCCTTTAAAATATTCTTTAAAGAGTTGTTTTCTCATTTATTCCAAATTCCCATTCAGGGTACTCAACTTGTCCTGGCTTGCCAGGCACTTTCCCTGTTTTAGTACAGAAATTCCATGCCCCAGGAACTCCCTCAGTGGCAGGAAAAATAGGACAGTGGTCATCCGATCCCTCATTTCCCATTTTGACTGTCATGACTTTCTATTTAAGTGGCATTATTATAGCTCTAAATCTGAGACCTGTTAAGCTAATCCAGAAACTAACAGGCAGATCCATCAGTGGTGGTTTTGAAGTGTGGTCCTCAGCGCAGCAGCGACACCTGGGTGCTTGCTGGAAATGCATATGTTCAGGCCCCAACCTGGACCTAGGAATCACACATCTATGGGCAGGAATCAACCATCCATGTCTAGTAAACCCCCAGGTGACTGGGATGTGTACGAATGGTTTAGAACCACTGGTTTACAGTAATAGGAGTGTTTCTGATTCACAAAAAGTTTTCTGCACCTTGGCCCCCTCATTGCTGGGTGTTGTGAGAGCCAAAAGACAGCAGAGAGCAGGGACCGAAAGAAGCAAACCAAGAAAGCTATACTGCAGCTTCCGACCGTGATCTAAGATCCCTTCTCACTGTGATGCTACAAAGCAACAATGATACACTGTTGACTGGTTTTCTTAGCTTTAATAAACTTCTAATAGTTTTAGATTTACAGAAAAGATGCAAGAATAATACAGAAGGTTCCAGTTTCCCCCTCACCCAGTTTCCCTTAGTGCTAACATGTCACATTCAGTACTGATACATTATTATTAACTATAGTCCATACTCTATTCAGATTTCTTAGCTTTTTATGTAACTTCTTTTGGGGTTTTTTGTCCCAAGGAAGGCAACCAGGATACCATATTATACTTACTCCTCATGTCTCCTCGAACCCTCCTGGACTGTGACAGCTTCTCAGAGCTCCTTGCTTTGATGGTGGTGACAGTTTTCAGGACTATGGGTCAGGAATTGTGTAGGATGTCCTTAAAGTTAGGTTCGTTTTTATGCTTTTCTCATGGCGAGACAGGAGGTAGGAGTCTGGGGGAGGAAGATCACAGAGGTAATTCTCATCCCAGCATAATAAATGTATATGTTTTTAACATGATCGCAGATTTAAGATTGTGTTTCAATGAGTGGATAAGAATTATGTGTAGGTGTTCATTTAACATACCACATTAAGGAAAATCTCTTTGCTATATGCAATTTTTCTATTCAACTTATAAAATAGTTGGTTGTCTTTGAATTCAGCATAATCTTAAAATATATTTACCTTAATTTTTTTTGTTAAAAAATGTGCCCTTCACTTATAAATGAAAAGTCAGTGAAAAATCTGCCTTGTTATAAATTAATGGTAATCCTACATTTACAGACTCAAGATCCATATATTAAAGTTAAAACGAAAAATATAACTGTTCATATTTCTTTCAAATTTACTGCAAACCGATAATAAGAGATCTGTGCTCAGCTATGTGGTCTGAAGGATGCAACGGAGTAAAAGAGCCAGAAGTTAAGCGTTTTGATACTAATTCCCCTAAGCCTGTCTCAAGCAAGGACTGGCCTTAAGAAATGCTAATGCTTCACTAAGTCCTAGGCGTAGAGAATCTGGCTTCTCTATCTTATGGTGTCCTTTGTATAAATGTACATTATCCTCTGAGGTTAGGAAAGACACTAATGTAGCTGTCACAGGGATTGAAAGGTCCATGGTTTTGTTTATTCTATACTTTTATTATGAATTTCACCGTAAATAGGGAAGTCGGCTTAGGATTGCTATGAGCTATCCTATGTACAATTTTCAGATGAAGACAAAATAAACATGGTTAATCCAGAAGAAAATTTGTTAGAAGTAGGATATTACTAGGAATATACTTACTTAGATTTAAATGAAATAAATAACCATAGTATGACACTCTGGCTCCTACGGGTGGGCACACTAGGTTTAAATATCTCTGTATTTACGGTTGTCATCCCTATAAAGCTGATCATAAGAAAAACGTAGTATTTGTGACCTTACTATGGAAAAATCACTATCATGGCCAAGGGTATCATTCACAACCTTTCCCCCCCCAAAATCTCTTATTTCTTTGTTTCTTGCAATACTTTGCCCTGGTTCTCCATGTAGTACTGTATGACCTTGGAAATTTTCCTTAACGTCTAGAGTTTCCTCATGTGTACCAGTTTGTTTGAAGATTAAATGAAATTATGTATAGAAAACACTTAGCAAATTAACTAGTCATTTGTTATTTATTTACAGACATAAGCACATGCTTTCAATCAATCATTCCTGGTTTATTCAAAGCAATGAGCAGCTACTAGAATATCTTAAAGTAGCCATGGTATTTTATGCCATATCTAGGTTCTCAGAATTATTTTCTGGCTATCACCTAATACTGTAATCTTCATCAGGTACCTTACTAAGCAGGTAAAAACTAATCAGGAAATGGACCTCTCTGTGTTCAAAGGGATAAATGAATTTTGGTGGCAACGCTTGGTGTTGTAGTAATTCTATTTATTTTTCTCTAGCCATAAGAGACTGTTTTTTTCTTACATGCTTGGTGGATAATCTCCATGACACTGAAGGAGGCTTATTTGATGATCTTAGCAGCTAAAATAAGTGATTAAAAGTGTGTGAAGTGTCAGGCAAAGGAAATAAGATCCAGATGAATTGTTTTATACAACAGCCCTCACCGAGGCCTCATTTATCTTCTTATAGACGACTGTTTTCTGACGCCAAGAAGCCATAATTAATCTCACCTCTATCCCCACCTCTGTATGTGGATCAAAGAGGTATCCAAGTTAAAATGCATCTTGTAACTAATCAACTCTTGATAGTGTGAGCTCGCAAGAAGTAAGAGTTTCTGAGGACCTTTCACTGCAGGCGGACCACTGTCCTTTATAGCCACCGCCCAGCCCCTTCGTCATGGGCTTCTCAGTGTGGCATTAGGTAGTGACCACAGCAGCATATGGAGTGAAAAACAGTTGCAGAGCAGCTGTAACTGGAGAGACAGCCTGGGATGTGTTGAATAGGACAGTAAGAACCAGCCAGCCGGGAAGCAGAGTAAGCAGTAGAAGAGAGGAAAGGATATGAGCTCCGAGCTCATTTGCAGTTTGTTTTTGGCTGTGCAGATGTTGCTAACACTGTGGTAACTGGCATAGTATTTGGGATGAGAGGTGTGTATACCCAACTGAAGTGAGGGCACAGGATTTAGAACCAGACTTGGAAGCCAGAGGGTTTTGGGTTACAATGGTCATCGAACTCTGGAAACTATTTGACATTAACGTGGTGTGACCAGTTTGTGTGAATTCCTTGTAAAGAGTGGCCATTCGTGTTTGAACACTATGTCACAAACTCCCAAAACACAGCCTGGTACAAAGTGGGCGTGTACTAGAATTCCTCTTATTTGCATATTGATAATATTTGTACTTGGTGTTGAACGTACAGCTCTTTGTAAGGAGGGTGATGATTTTCTAAACTGTTGATCTGGACAAAGAATATACCATCGAGGTTCCATGTTTTCCTTTTCTTTTTTTGCACAAGCATGTACAAAAGGATCAGTGCTTATTTTTTAATTAAAGAAAGAAAGGTAAAAGGAAACTAGAGAGGCAAGTAGTAAATGAAGATAAAAATATCTTAAAGGTATTTATCCTTTGTTTTTTTAAAAACCATCTGTGTAGAAATGTATGTATACAAAGTATAATACATTGTAAAGATTATTTTATTAAGGCCATATGTTAACAACAGAGAGGTGTGGGTATATTTATTTACTCCAGAGAAAAAATGTAAACTGTATTTGGATATATTCAAGAAAAAAAAAGTAAAGTGTATTTGAATATATTCAAGAATCGTCCGAATGTTTTATATCAATATAGGAAACTACATGTGGTCATCCATGTAAATTTCCTCATGCGGTGGCTGATTCACATTTGACAAGCAGCAATTGCTAGCTGCTCGTATTATTAGCAGAATGTAATATTAGTGATACATTTCCAAATAGGGAAAGGTAATACCACTGTTTTTCCCTCTCTTTTTTTCCTGTGCTATTTTGAATGCAGACAGTGCCACAGGGACACCAGCAATATCAACGACAACTGTGGAAATCCGCAAAAGCAGTGTTATGACAACTGAGATCACCTCTCAAGTGGAAAAAAGCCCTACAACAGCCACTGGCAATAGCTCATGTCCTTCCACCGAGACCGAGGAAGAAAAGGCAAAGCGGCTTCTTTACTGTTCGCTATGCAAGGTTGCCGTCAACTCCGCCTCACAGCTGGAGGCGCACAACAGTGGTGAGATGCAGTGATTTTTTTTTTCTGTCTCAACAGCTTGGCAATTATCTTCCCCTGAATAGATGAGATCTTTTGCAGCAGGGGACAAAAGAGGTGGCAGAAAACTGGCAATTATTACATGCAATTCATTAACCATTAAAAAATAAAAATGACATGCAAAGTGTCATTTACATGGGGTCAAGGGAGGGTTTCCAGGGCTCTGGTGCTGTGGTGTGTATGTGTGTATGGGGTGTGTGTGTGTTTGTGCATGCGCGCTATTAAACATTAGGGGATAAAGTAAAATATAATTCTAAAATATAAGTTTTGCATTTGTTTAATTTCTAGATTGCTAAGTACTTCCACGCACTTGCTTCTAAATGAAGTTTTCTAAGGTTGTGACAATAGCATAGTTGCAAAATGTGGTTCCATAACTTCATATATTTTTGGCAAATAATGTTGTTTGGGCTAAATGTATATGACCTGGGTAATTAAATTTAAGAAAGTGTCTATTATGGGCAGCCATTGAGGCATGATCTGTCCATGTAGTATTTTATTCACTCTTTCTGACAACCTATAAACGCTAATCGTCTTATTTAAGGCTCAGAGAAGGCACATGACTACTTAAGTGCCTGAGCCATGATTTAAACCCAGGTCTCTCACACATAAACTCTAAATTCTAATATATCATAACAGAAAATATTGATAAGTCAGGATGAAATGCTTTCTTAATATATTTTTATCTCATCCATCTGTTCTATATCTATATCAACATCTTATATATCTATATCTATACTTATCTATCCAGATATGTATATATAGGATATATCGTTCTATCTAAATATAGATAATAGTGTGTTTATTTATTTAGTTGGTTAGTTATGTCCTGCCTGAGGTTTTAACCAGCCCTTTGGCCCAAGGTCAACTTTTCTGTAAAAGACTGGATTCATGGCCAGGACTCTGTCAGCAATTACAGTGGAAAAAGAAGCACTTGTGAATTATACCCTGAGTTAATACTGCAGCTGCATTTGACTGAGTCATTGACCACTCATTGTGCTTCACTGGTAATAGTCAAGTATTGACTTCAAGACTCTGAGGGAGTAATTGCAGATGTCGAACAATTCCTTCAGCACATCCCTTCCTCCTGTGCACAACATCAGCTGCAGTCAGAGACAGGTCATGAGTTCAAGGGCTGAGGAACACAGAAAAGCATCTGTCCCCAAGCAGAATCTATACTGTGCAGATTTGTCTCACATTTATTCACACAAATACATTCTTTCTGGGTGCAAGATCATTGGGAGAGCATAAACAACATTGGAAAACCATGTATTTCTCAATTCTTTTTGATCATTTGGCATAGGAACAGAGAAACATTGATTT